AACGATGATGTTTCGGGGGGTGTTTCTGCATAATTAGTGTATGGGAAAATCATTCCCATAGTCTCCCTGATTTTGTAACATTTCAATTTAGTCACTGAAATTAATTTATATGTATTTTAATTTGGATCTCTGATTTTATTTTGTTTATATTTTATTCATTAACCATATTTATATATATTTTAGGTAAATATCAGATTTAGTCCTTAAATTTTAATAATTTATATTTTAATCCTGAATAGTTATTTATGGTTAAATTATCATTCAAGTACTTTGATTATGTGATGTTTCTGTTTAAGGTCATTATATTTTGTTTGCTTTACGTTTTAATCCCCGAATTTTAATATTTTAATTTTAAATAATATTTTTGGTTTATTTACGTTTAAAGTACCTAACATATTAATGATTTACAATTTTTGCCTTTATCTCTCGTAGTTTCATAATTTGATCCCTAAAATTATTATATTTATTATTTTAATCTTTTATTTATATATTTATTACTAAAATAATATTTTTATATAGTTTATATGATTAATTTAAAGAAATACCCTTAACTAACAAGGAAAGTATTCCTAAAGATTACTTGAATAAAATAATGTTTTTATGTTTTAAATATTTTATTTAGGGTAATGCTATCTTGTACGAGCAATCTATGAAAATATTCCTTTAATTTACTAAGGAGGTATTTTTAAATATTATTCGTATAAAATAATATTCCTATCTATTTTTATAAAAAATATCATATTTTAAATATTATTCGAATTTTCTAATTTCAATAAATTAGATGGCGTATAATCGTGTAAGTACTAATTTTTTGGCGTTGTGGGGGTGTTAATCCTTCCCCACACGTAACCGACTCCCGAACCCGTTTTCAAATTGAATTTCTGGTCAAACGCATATCAAATTTTTATATTTTAAAATTATTTTTCTTAAAATTATTTTAAAAGATATTTTTAGGTATTTTACTTACCTAACCCAAAAGTTGACGGCGACTCCAAAATTTTCTATTTACTTATTTATTTTAAAACCCGACATGTCCCAATATTAATTTAGATCGATCCCCGAAAAAGCCCTAAAAAGCCGGAGGGGACCGTTTCAACAATTAACATTTATATATGTTCTTTTAAAAAAATATACAATATAAGGTTTTTATGTACTTAAGGTTCAGGTTTGAGTTCGAGCTTGAGCTTCAATCGAGCTAATCCTGAGAATATTTTAAGTTCAAATTTTTTCGAGCTCGAGTCGAGCTTGAAAATTTTAAGCTCGTGAACTTTTAAGTCAAGTCGAATTCTTTTTCGAGTTAGAGTCGAGCTGACAATTTTAAGTTCATGGATTTTTCGAGTTGAGTCGAGCTCAGTTTTACACTTTTCAAGTCGAGTCGAGCTTAGCAATAATCAAGCTCTACTCAGCCACACCCAAACTTTAACATAATTTTTTCCTTTAAATGATTTTAGGTAACTTAAATCTGTCCTTAATTTCCCTCATCTCCACCTTGATTGTGTTGGTTCATATCTTACAGTGTTTCATAACCTCTGTCGTTCCTAAATATGTAACCTGATTTGTCCTTAATTAAACTTTTTTTTTGTTCATGTTGCGTTTAATAATAAAAGAAATGGTAAACTATAAGTTTAGTACTTAGCATTGAAAAAAATTAGCAAACTTTGACTTGACATTTTTATATTTTAATAATGATGTGACATTATTTTATGGTGACACACGTCAATATAATTTTTAACTTTTTAGCGAAGAGTGGTTAAAACTAAATATTAATTACAATTTTAAAGAAAAAAATTAGATGATCAAAACAAAATAAAAGTGAAAATTAAAGATACTAAACGTGTAGTTTATCATAAAAATAATTATTGAGTTCTTTCTATAAATCCCCTACGATGAGTTGAGCACTGGCCAAACTCAGTCATATTTAGGCCAATTCTGATTGGGCTTGCGAAATGTAAATAAATAAAGGCTAAATTACATGTTTAGCTGCTTAAACTATTACTTTTATTCTATTTTGATACTCAAACTTTATTTTTTTTCAAAACCATATTTAATGTTTAGTTTAGATTTCAATTTGGTCCTATAGTTAAAAGATTAACAAAATTATTGACGTGACATTTTTTTATTTCTTTGATTATAATGTGACATTACATTATAGTGATATGTCAATATCACTGGTAAGTTTTTAACAGTATGGTACCAAAATGAAATCTAAAATAAACGTTATGTATTGTTTTGAAAAAAAAGTTTAGGTACCAAAGCAGAACAGAAGTAATAATTTAGATACCAAACATATAGTTTACCCATAAATTAATCGAACAACATACTTTTCAAAAGCTATGGCATATATTAGAGTCATGTTTATAATACACGAAACTGTTGATATCCAAGCATGATGCTACTGCTTGAACCATTTTAAAAACCATAAAGATTGTATTGAGAAATATGGTAGATCAATTTGGGATTTTTATATTAGTGTTTTTACTATTAGATTGTAGGGTTCTGGATTTCTACTGCACTGCAACTGAAATATTTGCACAACTTTCTTCTTAACTTTTGGTGGAGTACATTACAGATGGTTATAATATCAACATTAGTAGAATACGTTCTAAATCGATCTGTTTCTACAATTTAGATTTTTATAATATTGTAAGTAGTTGGCCCTCTTTGGCTTTTATATTTGGAAACTCCATCTAATATATATTGGTGTGGCTATATTTCTTTCTTGTTTTTTTAGGTAAGTTGTCTTTCGAGAGGTGACTGTAGAATTGTAAATGAGACGAGACAAATCATATATTATTTGAGTTTGACTTGATTAACACTCGATTTGAACGAACTCGAATTCGAACTCGAGTTGTTTACAACCCTAGGAATGGATTAGCAGGATCTTTCATTGGTAATGTAGAAATGGATTATTTACCTTTCTTACTTTAATCAAATGCTAATAATTTGCTTGAATAACTTGAGATTAGGGTATAATCAAGGTGAGTGATTATATGTGTTTAATTAAAAAGATTTGTGATAAGCTTATCTTAATGTCATTTCAAAATGTAAGTATGAAAAGTTGTGATTTATTTATTTTACATGTACATGGATGATTGATATTCATAATAGGGTAGGAAGTGTGCTTTTATGATTACTAATGATATATAAATGAATGAATATTTATGATCTTTGTCATGTACTAAATGATATTTATGATGTTCAAATATGTTTTTATTAGAGTTATAGGTGTAATGAGCATGTCATGAGTCTAGCAGCTGCAATGTTAGCACTTCGGTGCACAGGGTTTTTACTCGTAGGGCAATTATGCTCATAGGGTCATTTGCCTTGTGAGATACTTTAGGTCAATTAGGGCCTTATGCTCGGTAGAACTTTATGTTCGTAGACTCGCGTATCTTATTCTCTCATTATGATATTTCAGGCTATTAAAATTGAATGATTATAAACATGTAGATAAACTTGAAAGCTTATTGATGTTGCTAAAGGAACGACAAGTTACTGATTTTATATTGTAAATCATATTGCATTGTTATTATGTTATTTATTTATTGTTTAATTGCATGTTTCACACGTAGATGGTTCGAGGATTGAGTAAATTAAATGTCCATCATTTTTTTGGAGAGTTCATCGAATTGTAACATCCTACCTGATGTATTTTAATTTCTTAGTGACATATATATGTAATAGCTTTGATCATATTTTGTTATAGGTCTTTTTGTCTTATACTAGTTTAGTGTCATTTTATAATAATCTATAGTTATTAACGTTGGATTGCATAGTTAATTTACTTATACGTTCAATCAATAAAAAAAAAACTTATATGTATGTTTTGGGTTCACCAAAACTAAATAATTTTATTAAAAATTCTAATATTATTTAAATCATATACTTCAGAATTAATATATTAAATGTTATAAAAATTAAATTAATTAACGTAATATTTTTAAAAAAATTATCATGTGTTAGGATTTTATACAAGGATTGACTTAAAGGACTAAAAATTTCAATTTTTTTATATATTTTTAATATTTTTTTTATCAAAATCATATTTTAACTCCTAAAGTTTAAAAATCATTCTTACTTAAAATTTTATAAATTTATTTTTCAATATAAAATTATGAGTCCATCCTTAGTTTTATATATGCCACGTACACCTGTTTCCATATTGGCCGTCACAAAACTCAAAAGCCGCTGGGCCAAGGCAGTGATGGTGAAAATTCTTATACGTGGAAGATGAGAAGATGGTTATATTCAAAGAAAACCAACTGCAATAATGAGGGTGGCCACCCTCCTTTCGTCCTCATGCACGAGTTTCTCGTGGCTTTCCTTCCAAATTAAATTATTTTAAATCAATTGCCAAAACAACCACTAAAACACTTCAAGTCCACCAATGACATTCCTTCACTCCACTTTAATCATTTCTTAAACTTACTTTCTAAAAATATAATATTTCATTTTTTTCTCACTAAAAATATTAAATATTTAAATACATGCCAACTTACATCAATTTAATTTTTCTAAATAATATTAAGTGTTGCTCCCAATGACGGAACATAAAAAACTAGTGAGGGAATGACTCCCCCAAAATTTTAAAAATTATAATTTAAATTCTTAAATTATTTTAAAATATTTAATTTGATCCATAAAAAAAATTAGAAATTTAAATTAAATTTAAATTTTTTTAATATTCTTAAATCTACTTCTATAATTTTTAAAAATTCTCATTAAATCTCTTAAAATTTCAAAAAAAATTATTTAGACTCTAATTTTTTTTAGAAAAAAAAGTAAATTAAACCCTTCAAAAATTTTAATTTAAACCTATAAATTTTAAAAAAATTTAATTTAACCCATAAATTTTTACTAAATTCCGCCATTGGTTGTACCGTTAGCTTGATAAAGCATGCATTCTGTGAGCTGGTGTTAATTTTACTATATATTTATTTAGTTGAATGCACACATCATTCTAAAATAAGAAAGAAGAAGAAGAAGAAATCGCACATCAGTTTCATAACACAAGATCAATTTCCATATAAGATATTTACATTTTTTATTCACATTTTCTCCTCGTAAAAGCTCTATCTCGGTGTTCTTTCTTTAATTACAACGGGTATTTGGTGGAAGGAAAGATTTTATACTGACAGATCGGAGGAACTGGCAGCGGCGTTGACGGATCTTGGTTGCCGAAGCAGCGCTATCAGTTTCTCTGCCTGCCCAAACAAAACGACAACCAAATCATTCCACCCTTTCGACACGATAATACAAAACACCAAAATAGAAAAAGAAATTCCAACTAACTCATTCTAAAATTCCAAAGAAAAAACATAAATTAATAATAATATTTTTGAAAAGACAGTTTTGCCTAGTTTGCTACTTATCGCGTTCCTGGACAGAGTCATTCCGTTTGTTTCTTCATGGCTTTTTATTTATTTATTTATTTTATTCCAGAAACCAAATTGGAAGGAGAAACTTTTGACTGGCTTCACGATTGGCAAATCACTTTACCCCTTCTTTTGTCCTTGCACTAAAATCAGCCAGAAAAATTGGCCACATTTTTTCATAAATAACCATGCCACGTCAGCCAAAATATGACTGCCAACCGCGATTTACTCTCTCTCATCCAAAACTCAATGCTCAAATTATGGCTTCGGTCTCTTTATTGTGCTTAAATTTGAAATATAATACTTATATTTTAGTTTCACATATGTTAGTCTCTCTACTCTTAAAATACTATTAGTTAGTCTAAATCTCTTTACTCTTTGTACGAATCATACGTATAAAACGACCTCAATAGTTAAGAGATCATTATTATCTCTTGATGTTTTAAGCTTGAACACAACGTTATAGAGATATATGAGTGTTCATTATCAAATAATTTAGAGTCTTGCGAACATATACTATATTTTATTCACTACAAACTAATAAAAAATATCTCTACTCTTAAAAATACTATTAGTTAATCTAAATAAATAACACTGCTAATTATTTCAGTTAAATGCTAACAGCCTAACAATTTAGTTCTAATTCACTCTACTAACATGAACTTTTATACTAGAATGGGTGTTTTTAAGAAAAGATTCACATCAGTCTTTTAAATGAGTTAATTAATAATATTAACTATTTGACTAATATCCTAAGAGTAGAGTACCATATTATATCAAATTAAAATATAATGATTAAATCTCTAATTTGAATATAGTTAAGGACCAAAAAACAAAAATGCTGAATTGTTATCAGTAATACTACCGTTACTAGTAACTTACCTTTTGCTTGGCGCGTGTGGTGCCTGACTGAGACAAAGCGACTAAGGGAGGAATCGCTCCTTCGCGGGCCACCATAGTACGGTACACCACACTGTCCTCGCAGATCTGCAACAAGATCACCACGGCGATTTCCTTTTGCCTTTGCGATCCAACTTCAATGATTTCAACCAATACGGGAATCCCTCCTTCTTCAACTAAAGCCGTTTTGGCTTCCGGTACTGTTACCAACACGCTCAAAACGAAAGCCGACTTGTCCACCATGTTCGAACCGAAATCAGCCATTAATTCTACTAGTGGTTTCATGATCCTCGCTTCCACGGCCTTGATCTTGTTCTCTCTAACTGTGCATAATGAATACAGAGCCGTCGATGCATCCTTTTTCCCGCGAAATCCACCGTTTTCGAGAAGATCAACTAAAAGTGGAATGGCCCCTGACCGTCCGATTGCGACCTTGTTTTCTTCTACTTGAGAGAGCCGAAGCAAAGCACAAGACGCGTTTTCTTTAGCCGTGGGAGTTCCCGTCATCAAAGCTCTAACCAGTGGCTTAATCGCTCCCGATGAAGCTATGAGTTCTTTGTTCTCATCGCATAAAGAAAGATTCAAAATCGCCGTCACGCTGTTTTCTTGAAGATAAGGATCGGCGGATGAGATTAACGAAATCAACGGCTTAATCGCACCGGCTTTAGCGATCTTGATTCGATCCTCCGGTTTGTTCTTTGCCAATAATCTAAGCTCTAAGGCCGCGTGCTTTTGGTCGTCAATTGAACAGGAATCGAGATCCGATACGAGTTGCCTTATCAATTCATCGGAGTTCTCAGTATTAGTACAGGAAAGAAATAACCGCCGACTTTGCGACGCCGCCGTCGGGAACTCCCCGGATCTGTCGCTGTTACAATCACTGAAAGCGGAAGAATCATCGTTGACACTCAAATCATTAAAGCTCCGCCCCATATACGAGTAATTCACTGCATTCTCTGTCTCCATATCGAAATCAACACGCTCTCACCGCATCAAAATCTCACCGGATGGTAATCAAAGACAACGGTCCAGGACGGGTTTTGAAATCGGGCAACCCGGATCCGAAAAGGAAGGTTATTCGGGCTCAAAAATAGTAGAGGGGAGCGGTAAGGAGGAGAATATAAAAGGGAGGAGTGTAAAAGACAAAAGGAGAGTACACGTGGACGCTTGCAGTGGGTTGTAGGGTGACACGTGCGTGATTTTGACCGTAACCAAAATCTGAAGCCTGGGGTTGAGCACGTGCGAATGGTCTCCATCTTTAAGCGCGTGCAACGAAAGTTGGGTGTTCGATGAATGCTCTTTATCGAAGACGAGGACCTTTTTCTTTTCTCTCATCTATTTTTTGAAAGTTCTAACTGATGGAGAGATTCATATACACCAAGGACTTCAGTACTGTGATAAAGATACGTTTCAGTACACCCAGTTCCTTCATGTATTGCCGCGTGTACCCTCACCTTCAAACTCCAATGCCCCTTCTCTTCTTCTTTTTATGCTGAACTGGGTGCACATGCATTCCTGCATCAGTACAGATCAGGCCACGCGGATGCCAATTCCATAATATTATTTTTCAAATTAAGGCACTAATATTTTTAAATAAATTCAGTGATTTAAATTTTAATATTTATAAATAGTGAAAATAGATTAAAAGAGTTGTTTTTATCTATATAATATCTGATTTGAATTAATTGATCAATAAATTATATATCAGTGATTAATTTAAGAAATATATATATTTATAGGACTGTAATAAAAGATAATACAATTAATACTTTTATATTAATCTAGAATAAGTTAATGGTGCCACATATGTTTTTTTTGGGTTTTTTTGTCAACTTGTACTAAATAATTTGTAATTATGTTAAGAGAAGAGAGGAACCACATGGATTTGTCCTTTGCCTTACTGAATTAATTCCAAGAAGAAAAAAAAATGAGAGCCATAGTGTTACTTGTATGGTAAGCAACCTCTAATTTGGTGGGTTTAACATTTTTGGTCCATGTTTACAGCCCATAGAGTTAAGGGTACGCCATTGTTGTGTTTTGAAGCCGAAATGATTAGAGAGGTTGGGGATAATTGTTGGAATAAAAATTATTAGCTGATTGCATTAAAGTTGCCTTTATAAGTATGTAAATGGAATTAGTATTTGTAAAGAAAATTAAATAAAATATGCGTAATTTGTAATCTCAATTATGTAAATTTTTAAAAGCAGTCATGGTTCATGAATGCAATGTTTTGTTTTCACATTTTTTTATTTAAACTATGAAAATTGATAATTCTATGGGCGGGCTGTAATAATATTTTTCTGATTATAATAAATCAAGGACACTCCACTGTTGACATGGAAATCCAATAGTAATGGTGGGCAGTTGCTAAAGATATACACTTATTTCTAATTAATACTAAGCCTAAAATTAAACATTTTTATAGTCGAAAGGTTGAAATGAATAGTAAATAGTGGGGTAGAGTACACAAATGATCCCTCGATCACGAGACGCTTCTTTGTTTATTCTTTTGACTATCAAAAGTTACAAAATAATCTATTGACTATAAGACACTGCTTTGTTGAGTCCATCAACTATTAAAAGTTACAAAATGATCGCTCAAATATTCATGTGTTTCAAATTTGTCCTTTTCTGTTAAAAAAATGGACTCCTGAGCTAGACATAAACTACTGACTCGATATGATAAAATCTGATCTCATAATATCAAATGACTATGCAATTCAAATAATTCAAAGATCAGATTTTATCATACCCAGTCAGCAGATTAACAACCATATCAGACGACCATAAAATTTTTAACAGAAAAAGACGAGTTTAAAACGTATAAATAGTGGAGTGACCATTTTATAACTTTTAATAGTTAAAATACTTAACAAAACAGTAATTTACAGACTATTTACTTATTTTACCCTAGCAATATGTGTATTAATAAAGTTGGCAACTAAATAAAATGAGCCGTGGATTAGTGGTACTATAAAATGAGTAATGGACACTTGGACAAAAGCAAGAAGTGATGTCCGTATCACTAGAGAATGTGAAAGTGCATTCGTCTAGATGGTTTGAGAAAATTAAAATTTAGTATAAACAAAACCTTCCACGATTGCTGCATTCTTATTTGTGGGATAGGGTTATTATGGAAGGTACCCTTTTTTCTCCTTTTTCTCTGGAAGACGACGACGATGATAATGTGTTTGAGCTTTTTTTTTTCTTCCGTATTTATATTTGGTTTGTGGAATCATTATTGATAATAAAGTTCCAACTTTATATATATCAAAATACTTTACTTTTTCTTTATACAAATGAATATAAGTTCATATTTAAAGAAATAATATCATGTACGAACTAAATGATCATAGTGATTAAGAGATTTAATATTATTCAGTGAGGTCTTGAGTTCAAATATCGTGTACGTCAAGATATGAGCATTCATTGTTAAATTGATGAGAGTATTTGAACATATATTACCTTATATTTACTCTAAATTTACTAAAAAAAGAAATAATATCATTTTTTTATAAATGAAAGACATTATTAAAATTAAAGGTAAATACAAACACATAATAACCAACAACAAGTTGGTCCAGTGGGATGAGGTACTGGATCCTTAAGCAAAGGTCAAGGGTTCAAATCTTGACATTTGTGAATGGAGCATACTGAGTTGGAAGGGTCGTCATCGCCTCTTCAGTACCCAATCCATAAGAAAAAATAAATAGATAAAAAAGCAAGAAGAAGAAAAATAATATGTTAAGAAAAACGACGTAATAAAATAACATCATTTAATTTATTAACCATATATGGATTTATAAATAAAAAATAAATGCATAGAATATAAATTAATAATATTAATTTCGAAGATAAAAATGCTATTACTCTTTAATTAGTAGTTATAATACCTACTAATTGGATTAAAAGTTGACATCAGACTCCATTAGAGTAATATTCTAACTTGATTGCTCCATAATCTTTTACTCCTAACTGTCTAGTGATGTAATCAAATTTGTTGGAAAATCAAGTGCATAATATGAGGTTTTGATTGGCTGTTAGTTGATTACAACATTTATATATTGCAAACCAATATTGAAATCAATTGCATAATATGAACTAATCATGTGAAGTGAAAGATAATAAATTGTTCTAGTTTTTGGCCACCATTGCCGGATAGTCTTGTGCTATCCTCCTCTCCAAACATTATTCTTTAAATTTGTTTATTAATATTTCAAACTTTGATAGTTGTTACTATTTAAATAAGTATCAATTTAGAACCCATCAAGGGACATCAGTGATTTAAGGGAGTGTTATTCTTTTTAAAGACCTTAAATTTAAATAGTTTTGTCTGTATATATGTGTATGTTGTCAATAGGGGTGTGCAAATCCGGGTACCCGGATTTTCGGGTACCCGATTTCGGGTACCCGGAACTTCGGGTCGACGATTTCTCGGCCCGTGTCCCGACCCGGATGTTACGGGTACCAGGTAATCGGGTACCCGGATTTTGCGGGTACCCGATACCTGGTTTTTAATTTTTTATTTTCAAATTATTAATTTAAAAAATATATACAAATTTAAATGTTCGAAACTTCGAATTACATACTCTAATATTCGAACATAAAATTTAAAAGTTCAAAATACAAAATATAATAATCCATAATATAAATAATTCATTATATTTTATATAATTATATATAAAAAAATAAAAACTAACCGGGTACTCGGGTAACTGGGTACCCGAAAAAACTAGATTTTGTGACCTGGGCCCGACCCGGGAAATGTCGGGCCGGGTAATTTTTTTTAGAGAATTACCCGGTTTTTTTAGATCCGGGTCGGCGGGTCGGGCCAACCGGGTCGGGTAATTTTGCACACCCCTAATTGTCAATGACTAAAAGAGATTCTGAACAGATACTAATTTATAATTACCCTAAATTATTCAAACAAAAAATAACTACTAATCTTTTTGCAAGGAAAAATAAATTTAATTTAGTCAGCTCTAGATTAACTTGTTGTATTCATCGAATGAGATTTCAATATTGTTCATCTATCTATAGCTAAATTGGTAATAAGCATGTTAGATAATTAGTTTTATAATAAATTTTAGTTTTCTAAAATTAGTTATTTTAATGACATTGTTTTTAAAAGATATTATATACTATAAATTTAAATGAGAAAATTAATTTTATAATATATTTTTATGATTTACACGTTAAATTTATACAATTTTATTTAACTGGTACTAAAATAATTCATATTCTCAACTCAATTAATGATTTTTATAAAATAATTATTTGATGAGCGGATAGTAAAGTTTTCCTCTTCATAAATGGCTTTAATCCACCACCATATGTATTTAATTATTTATTTAAATATAATTAAAAATACATAATGGTTTGTCTATCGAATAATAATATTTTATTATTAAGTATAGATGCAAAATATAGATTATAGATCATATGGTAGTAAGGAGTTTCTCTTTTAGGAAATATAATACGAAGTGATTGTCTTCCAAAAATAGAAAGATTTTGAAGGAACTAACATGGTTTGTAGCTCAATTCGACTCTCCTTTATTGAAGGGCTCAAAGCCTAATCTCCCACCGTGGAGTGTATATTATTTGTATTGCACTGAGTTTTTATTTTCTCAATTAGGCGATTTTATAGTGTTTGAACGTTAAAAAAAGACGATTGGACAACGTGACATCTTCTAATCTCTTTGTATGGCTCTGATTAGTTTTGTTATATCCACAATGATCTGTCGTGCACGTAGAGGTCTGTATCGTCCGAACGAGAGACCTCTATGTTGAAAGTCAATTAAGGGGCTAAGGAAAGTCAATTAAGCGGGTTAAGGGGCATCAAATTCGATGGATTGGACACTGAATTCGGTGCATTTAATTTCTATTGAAAATAAAAATAGATAAATTACATTTTAGTCCTTACATACTTTAGAGTATTTACAAGATTAGCCTTTAAGCTTCAACTATAAATACCATAACTCATTTAGCTTTAAAATCATCCCAAATCATTTCTTTCTCCCAATGCTAAAGAGTTTAGAGAGTTTTCTTGTGAGTAGTGAGTGTTTTGTAAACACATGTAAATTTTCTCTCTTTAGT